GGACCACTGCCCCTCCAGGGGAAGAGGAATCAGCCCCCGCCTGCAGGCAGCAGTACTCATGGGAGGTCCAGGGACAGCGCAGCCGAGTGCGGAAAGCAGGATTTCGTGGTCCCAGCACGGGACACGGCAGCTTGGCTTCCGGCCAGCACAATGAAGGGATGAACACAACACGCAAGTGTGGCAGTAAGGTGAATCGCAACGATTTTTTTGGTTCCCCAGCGCCTATCAAAGATCTGTTTCCACTGTCCTGTTGTCTGTTCAGCGTGCTGTTGCATTATGTCTTCAAAAACAACCTACACGCCTTGATTGGATGTGACACGGCGCGGGAAGGGAGCCCACGCTGCTGGGGAAGGTGCCGAGCCACTCGCCAAGGAAAACGAGGCTGTTTGGGGTCCAGAGGCAGAATGCACTGGAGGTCTTGGGCGAATCACTGCCCAAGGAGTCACTGACCCCTTCCAGGCCACCTCCCCTCCAGACAGGCTTGTTCTGTGCAGTTTGGACAATTTTTTTTTTTTTTTTAAATGAGGGGTTTCACGTAAAAGGCAGGTTTCCAGCTTCCTATGAAAAACTAAAGGATTTGGCAGCCCGGGCCTACTACGTTCAGGCGGCCCCTCTGTGCCGGCCACTGGGGCAGCCGTGGGTTTGCTTGGATTGCTTCCCACATTTCTTTCTTTCTATCTCCAGTCTGCACAGTGATTTAGAAGTTTTTGAACAAGTCGTTGACGTTTAAGAAATTGAGAATTTCAAGTAAATATCCAGATTTGGGCTTCTTGGAGAATGTCATTAGGGCCCCCCACGGCCCTCACTCCCCGGCAGCAGTGCGGCTGGAGCTCAGGCCTTCTCCAGGTCACTTGTCCTGCTTCTCCCTCCTTGCTCCCTAGGGAGCAAGTTTGGCGTCAAGGTTGTGCTCTTCCACCCCAAGTCACAATTCATTTCAATTTGAAAGCTAGAGTAAGGCACATGCAGGCGCCTCAAAAAAGCCAGAGAGCTTTGTGGACATCAAGAATATGCCTGTGTGTTTGGAGGAATAGAGCCCACTGGAAGAGACTAGAATCGACCCTGTTAGAAAGACACATCCTAAGATGCCACTAGGGACGAGAGACCCCCTGCATCCCTCTCTGATGCTCCCTACCTGCACCTTGTTAGCATTTACATGGCGATGCCTGGGGAGAGGCAGGAAAACCACATAGCGCTCCACACTCAGAACTCGGGTTCCAACAGGGGTGTGATGTTTGCCTTACGCTGCATTGTGCCTCAGTCTTCTCATGGGGAAAATGGGCAATATAATCACAGCTGCGTCATAGGGTTGCCGTCCAGGTTAAGTGAGTGATGATAAGCAGAGGGCTCAGAATAGAGGCTCATGGTGGTTGGCTATGATTCAAAGTCAGGGAAACTCGGGGCAGAACTGAGCCCATGTGATCCCAGAGTTTGGCAGTTGGGAATGACCTCAGGGTGATTTTACTGGGCTGGAAAGGGGACAGGCAGCCAGCTGCAGAGGGTGATGCAGAGGGGTGCATGGGAATGCGGAGCTAGGGTCAGCCCCAGCCATAAACTGTTCTTGTCCGGCAGGTGTAGCAATGGAAGGAAGGGATCAATGACTCGTTCTAGAGGCCAGGCCAAGTGGAGGGGACTTGTTTCACATTCATTTATTTATGCCAATTGAAATATTTGATTAATGCCCAAACAAGACATTCTAACAAAAATGGAAAATTTCAAAACAGAAGAAATCACCTGCAGCCTCACCACCCTAACAAGGGAACAATTTTCCAGCTCCCCTTCCAGGCCCATCATTTCCACTGCTTTAGTCATAACACACATTCTTTTCTCTATTGTTCTCTGTCACATGAAATTGCCCCACAGGCATTTTCCATGATGTTTCACTGTTGTTACGTTTGTCATTTTCTCCCAAATGAACATAATCTCATTGTTTTGGGGTTTTTTCCTGGTTGTAAAAAATGCTCCATGGCTTTTTAATCTTTTTTAATGCAGATACTACCAAAAGTATGAAGAAGACTCCCCATTTTCCATCCCACCCTTCACAGATAGCCAGCTTAGCATTTTGGGGACTGGGCCTTGTGTTCATTTCCCAGGGCTGTGTCAGCACATGCCAGAGACGGGGGGACTTCAGCAACACGAGGTGTTCGCTCGTCATTCAGGAGGCTGGAAGCCTGAGATCAAGGGCCTGGGGTGGGGGCGTCCACCCTGGGTTCTTCCTAGCTTTGGGTCACCAGCAATCCTTGTCATTCCTTGGGGTGCAGCTGCCTCCCTCCCATCTTGCACTCTATCATGTCTTCCTCTTCCTCTGAGTGTGTCTGTGTCCAGCCGCTGCACTCAGGCCCACACTCCCCCACTCTGGCTTCATCTTAACTTATTTCAATCTGCAAGAACCTATGTCCAAAGAAGTTCACATTCAGAGTTAACAGAGCCTAGGATTCCAGTTATCTTTTGGGGACACATGCTTCTATCTATACCATGTGAGGTCCCCACTTTGCTGGAGGGGGAAGGAGCTTGGCTGGAGCAGCAAGGGGACTCCTCTGAACTGGAAGGGGAGGAATATTCTGAGTGTGAGAAGGGAGATGAGGAAGGGCTTCCTCCAGCAACTCAAGTCTGTGTTTTATTAACCTCCTAGTCCTTCACAAGGAGGGCCCGGGACTCATCAGAGAGCCCGCCGTCCGCAAGCCCCACCGGCCCCTTCCCCACAGTCACACACCGTGCAGCTGGCAGTTGTGCATCCTGCTGTCCGCTCCTCGCCAGATTCTTGGTTGGCTGCCACCTAATTTCTTTTCAGCCTGGACTAATTTCTTGCAGACCTCAGGCTGGCGGGAAGCATTGCTAATTCCCAAAGTCCTTCCATATGGGCCACTCAGCCCTGTATCTGCACAGCTGCCCACCCCCTCTGTCTTCTCCTTGAGCAGGGCGGTGGTCACACAACCTGAGGGCCTCAGAGACCACTTCCGAGTTTTGACCTCTTTTCCTCAGGACCCCTGTTTTTGAGGGTTTGCTCAACTCCCTAGGCCCTTTCCTGCCAGCCCCAAGGTTGAATTTCCAGAGGAAGAGTGACATGGAGAAGCACTGTGGAAAGGACAGAAACAGCTGGAAGAAGTCCCTGTGCTGGTGGACACAGGGGGTCTAAGCCACACACACCCCTTACCTCCCATGGCTGCTGAGGTCAGGTCTGGGCATGGCAGGGCAGTGTCACCAAAGGCGGCAGATGCATCACCCTTGGCCTAGCTGGCTCTTGGGGACCTGGACTGGGGACCGTTACAAAACAGCAGTCAAGTGACAGAATAACGAGGCTTCTGCTCATTAACTTAGGTCCTGGGAAGAGCCTCACCAAGATCTGCTCTTGCTGCTGCAGGCTTCTGCCTTTGAGAGAATTGTCACACGACACTCTCCAAGGGTTAAAAGCCAGCCGTTGGCCCTCTGCCTCTTGCTCGCTGCTGCCTGGGGTGCCGAGTAATCTCCTGGCAGCGCATCAACCTGCCCCGTCTTTACCAGTTAATTATATGTTGTCCTCCATTTCCTCTCCAATGCCGACAGCCATTTCTGAGAAAGACCTGGGAATCAGAAACCCAAATAAGAGAGCTCGTATTATATCTAAAGGCAAAATAACAAGAAAACCCAGGTACACCAGGATGTGCCAACTTGTGTGGGATTGAGGTTCTTCTTGCCCGGACATGAAAGACACGGGGCTTGAACCCAGTGGGACTGGAGCAGCATCCCAGGAGGCTGGACGGGTTTGCAAGAATTGTGGGGATTTTTACCCAACCTCCTCTCTTGCTGCCACCTCAGCAGACCTTATATTCCAGCCCAGTCGCTTGTTTCAGACATTGCCCCTTCCTCCCTGAGCAGGCAGAATTTCATGGTGGCAAGCAACAGACCCCACTTAAAATAACTCTTACGCCTCAGCCTTAAAGATGGTTGTGGTGTGCAGTCAACAGGAGTCAAGGACACAGCAGATGCTAATAGGGCCTCCCTCCTCGTCTGGGTTCCATGGGCTCTTCTAAGATGAAATCCCTCTGCAGAGTGAGACAATGGTCTCCATCAGCCCAGCTTCTCATGCCAGCTTAGCTGGCCTCTCCTATCTCCCAGCCCTTAGAGAAGGATTCTGATGGACCCATTCTACATCAAAAGTGCCATCCTTACACTGGTTTCTGCTCAGGAAAACCTGGTTCCCTGATAAAGGATGATTTTATTATGTACTCTATTTCCCTTCCCTGCCCCCGGAAACCCCCCAAAGCCCTAGCTTACAGGAGGATCCCCTACTTTTAAGACCCAAGCCTTCCAGAACATACTCATCTACACCCACCCTCAGAGTTGAGTACACTCTTTGGGCCATCTTAATATCTCAGACATGCCTCTGTTATCTCTCTCACTCAATTATCTATTTGTTGTTCGTTTAGCAAAACCTGGCTCTAGCATTGCACCCATCTGCTCTTGGTCCAGATCTCCAGAGGGTCTTAGCAAAGAGCCTAGCACTCTCGCTGCATTTCACAGGTTACTACTTAAGAGAGATGAGAGCCACTTGAAATGTACAGGTGGTTGAGAACTGGGGCACTGAGGCGACACAGACCTGGCCCTCCGATTGCCTGCAGCGTGTCGTTTTGTGTAAGTGACTTACCCATCCCAAGCCTCGGGAGGCTCATCTGTAAAGCAGAGTTGGTGGCAGCAACCCCCACATCCTCCGGCAGCTGTGGGGACTCAGCAAGGTCATTATTGTGCCTGGTACAATCATGGTGTGGTCACTGAGTATTCCACGCATTTTTCTGAGTTCATAGGAATGAAATGAGATATGTGTTCAGTGTTTAAAAATTTAGAAAACAGACCAAAAAAGAAACAGCCCCTTTACTCAGTAGTTGCACCTGATGCTTCTCATCACCAGTCTCCCATTCTATCCCTATTATGAGGCTCGTCAGAGCCACCCCCAGCAGACTGCAGCCGTGCCCTGATGGCCGGCAGTTCTCGGTGTGCTAACACCACTGTTGTTCCTCTCTTGGCAGGTCCTTCAAGCCGGACTTCATCCTGGTCCGCCAGCACGCCTACAGCATGGCCCTGGGCGAGGACTACCGCAGCCTGGTCATCGGCCTCCAGTACGGGGGGCTGCCTGCTGTCAACTCCCTCTATTCAGTCTACAACTTCTGCAGCAAGCCCTGGGTGGTAGGTAGTGGCCCAGGATGACCCAGAGTAAAGTGGGGGGCAGTGAGTAGCCCCGGCCTTTCAAGGAGCCCCATTCCCAGCATACAGGCCCAGAAGTCTTTTTTTAAGCAACTGATAAGCCATTTGGGTCCCAGGCCCTTTCCTGTAATTATTGCCTGGAAAGTATGATATAACCATATTATGTTATATAACATTTGTGTTATATGTTATATATACATATTGTATTGTACGCATGTCTTGATACAGCGTTATGTTGCAATAATGTCAGCAGTAAGAGGGGGTCCGTATGTTTTTAGTAATGTTCTGTCCATCATCATGGCTGTGACTGGCAGGCACCATTTATTGAGCATTTACTTATGTGCAGCAAGACCTCAAATAATTCAATATCTCATTTCATGATAACGTGGATGAGAAAAAACAAATGGATCCCCAGCCGAGGCCACTATCTGTGTAGGGTTTGCAGGCTCCCCCCAGGCCCCTGTATATGTGGGTTTTCTCTGGGTGCTCTTGGTCCTCCCACATCGCGGAGATGTGTGCATGAGGGTGATCGGCATTTCTGTTATCCCAGTCTGAGTGGGAGTGACTGTGTCGGGGGGCGGTAGAGGGAAGAGATAAAGAACGAGAGAGAGGGTGCCAGCCCACTGTTGGCTGCTACGGACGGACGCCTGCCCAGGGTGGGTTCCCTCCACATGCCCTCAACTGCAGGCATAGACTCTAGTCACCTGAACCCTAAAACTGGACTAAGGGGATTGGAAAATGAATGAATGAATACAAGTGACTATATTAGAAAGGTTTGGGTCTATTTATTTATGTATTTTTAAAGATTTATTTATGCATACAAGAACTAGGGTGTAAGCCAGAGGTATGGGGAGGGGGTGAGAGGATTCACCAGAGACAGAGTGGGGAACAGAAAAGGCAGATCTACTGAAATACACTGCTGAGGGGAGCAGCAGGCAAGGCAGGAGAGGTCTGCTATGCCATGTGGGTTAGCTCCCTGGCCGGCCGGGGATCAAACTCGTGCATCAGTGGCTGCTGATAGCTTGATAGCGCTGTCTTTAACTCCTGCACCACCAGGGAGGCCCTTGAGTCTTTATTTAAAATATGGTGCTTTTTGTGAACAGACATACCCCCTAGTGCTGTTATACTATTTTGCAGAGAACAAAGCTCAGCTGAGTAATTAAGGACTTTGCTCAAGGTTACGTAGACAGTGAGGGTAAAACCAGCACCCAGTCATTTCTCTCTGACCCTCATATAACACAAATATTATATAACATAATATGATTATATCATACTTTCCAGGCAATAATTACAGGAAAGGGCCTGGGACCCAACTGGCTTAGGTCCCCCTAGGACCTTAACTCTTGCTTATATCAATTAGCCTGTGATCAAATTGGTCAGCTTCTCAGGACCTCTGGGTGACATTAAGTGACGACCTACTGTACCAGAAAATGAGTCACCAGTGCTCATGGCAAGGGTACCCGGGATTTGGGTGCTGTTATACTATTTTGCAGAGAACAAAGCTCAGCTGACTAATTAAGGACTTTGCTCAGGGTCACGTAGAGAGTGAGGGTAAAACCAGCACCCAGTCATTTCTCTCTGACCCTCAAGACTTGATTCCTCCCGCTGACTTGTATTCATTACTGTGATATTCACTCATTTGATTGGAGTCCCCCTTCAAATGTTACCTGTAAAAGAAGTTTCTCCTAAAATGCACTCCTTCACTCCCCAAATACTCTCAAATCCCTTACCCTGCTTGGTTTTGCCCCAGTCTAGTGAGAAAATTGAATCTCAGAACCCTGAAGTGACTGCCCAGCTAGTAAGTGGTGGAGAAATTAAACCCCAATCTACACCATGAACTGTCACATAACACTACCTCTCTAGAAAGAAGGGCATTACAGGTAGAGGGCGTGGCAAGAACGTCAGCAGGTTGTGCTTGTGTAAAATGCTGAGGGCCTGGTAAAAGCTCATTAAATGTGATTGAGTTCAACTTGAGGAGGAGTCGGCAGTAATTGAGCAGCCAACGTGACTGATGGTGTTGGCCAAGGACGCTGGCCTTTCTCCGGTAGACAAGGGACAGCTTACTGGAGCTCAGTTCAGAACAGCCAGGAGCTTGAGGCCTGGGTGGTTTCTCCAGACTGGCTAACAATGGCTTACTAGTGTTCTCGCCTCTTCTGTCCTAGTTCTCCCAACTCATTAAGATCTTCCATTCCCTGGGTCCTGAGAAGTTCCCACTGGTGGAGCAAACGTTTTTCCCCAACCATAAGCCAATGGTGAGTGCTTTTTTATTCTGCTTATTTTTGTGATATGGAACCAACACAGATGTTCATGTTCTCACTCTGGATGAGGGAGGTGGGGTCGGGAGCCGCTCCCTGACCACCCAGGCTCTAAGGAAGAGCCGTGATACCCTGTGGGAATACTTGGCTTTCCTGGTCATCGCTCCAGGCGAAAGTCTAGGCAGGAGGGCAGAGGACAATGGTGGACAGCATTTCTTGGGACATCCGCATATTAGGGGACATCTTGAACTAGTATGTTGGAGCAAAAAGTTGATGGTAAAGGTAAAGGTGTTGGAAAAATGGGATGTTATTTCACTTGATACCTGTGTAGGACCTGGTTTCAACTCTCCTTTTAATGAAAACAGTGATATGTCATTTGCATTGATTGTCAAAGGGCAGTTTCCTTGCGTGTCTTCTTAGCATCGTAATTATACCCAAGGTCTTTTTTGGGAGGTAGTGGAGCTCAACTTGGAGGGTGTGGGATAGCCTCCCATTCAGAGAAGGGGTGGGTGGGAGAGGTTAATGTCTTTCTGAATAGGGTGGAGAGCGCTCCATCCCACAGCCAGAAGATGGTAAGTGGAAGTCTCGGGCAGGGGCGGTGGGAGGCAGCCCATGATGCGCCCGCTTACATGTTGGTTCAATGGTCAAAGGCACTCAGGGCCACCCCCCCATGCTTGCTCTGTGAGGGATGGGCATCTTGGGGAACAGTCATCTTGTGTGTGGAATCCCAAGCTCGGGCTGTTGAGCTGGACAATCCCGTTTGGAGTCACCGATCGGGAGGACTGCAGGATTATATGATTTATCTGTCTCTTGTATCTGATCCAGTGAGAACTGCTAGATCTAGGGTGTGCTGGTTGGAATAAGAAAGACATGTGGAACCCAACATATACCAATAAAGCATGAACTCATGGGCAAAAATCCAGGGTTTACCATCAAACCAGCCTAAGTTTGAGTCCCGGTTCTGCTTACTTACTATTAATACTTCTTGGGTAAGGAATGAACCCAGCAAACCTCCACTTCCTTGACTGACACCCACAGATGACAGTCGAACAATGTCATCAAGTCTTTAAGAGTCGATGTCATCTAGTGTCTAAAGCTTTGTGCCTGGCACACGCTAGGCGGCCACAGCAGAGTAGCCCTAACATAGAGGCAGGAGCTATGACCTGGAACACTGTCAATAGTGGGATGAAAGTTGGGTGAGGGATTTGCAGCCAACCACGGAGCAGGGCTGATAGGCCGGGATGTAAGCATGGGAGGGTTTACCAGCTCGTGTGAGACCTCAGGAGTTCCTGGCATTTCCATCTGGGCCAAGCGATACTTAGAATTTCAAGCTGACCTTGACATCAAGGACTGCTGTCTGCACACTCCCTCTCCCCATTTCTATGGGGGTTGAGATTCTTAGGACAAAAACAGGAAGGACCCAGTAGGACCCCGGTCTGGGAATATTTGTATCACCAATGGAGGTCCAGATGCCAGACAACCATGGAGAACCTGACCACAGAATCAGGAAGCAAGGTCAAGGCTGGATTAGCAGCCGGCTGAAAATTGGTAATGCCTCTCCCGAAATTCCTGCTGCTGGGGGAAAGGACTGAGGCAGGGTGGGTCCAGACTGCAGAAGTGGGTGAGTGTTAGTTTTATCTCACTACAGAAGGGAGTGGAGGGAGAGAGGGGGCAGGGAGCGGGAGCCAGGGCGGGCAGGGCCGGCTTCCAAGGCCCTCCAAGATCTGTTTAACCCCTGCCGGCGAGTAGGACACAAGGAGACAGAGACAGCAGTTGTGTGATAGAAATAAAATCACTTTACTGTTTAGAATAAAGGACACACTATAAAAAGTGAACATTATGCAACATTACAAGACAATATACATTCACGGAATATAAAATTCATAAATAACATGGAGGAAATCTGTAAACAGTGCTACAAAATTTAGCAACAAATACATTCCTTCCAGATAGGGTTTTCTCTGCTTGGTTTCTCTCCATCACTTCTGGGTCTCAGGGCAGCAGACTGGCTACGGGGAGAGGCAGGGTGGGGGGCAAGGCAGAACCCGCGAAGCCCCTCCCTTGGAGCGGGAACCCCCACCGCGCGCCCCAACAACCAGTTCACAGGCTGCTGTTAACGCCCCTCCCCGGGCCTCCCCCATTTGGTTTCGTCTTTACCATGAGATCTTTTAAGTGTTTAGCTTTCATGTTATGATTTTAGTGATACTTTAGGAAGCCGGATGCAAACATGTGGTGTCATCTGGGGAATCCATCTTGGCGATGGTCAAACGCAAGATGAAGGGCCGGGGCAGGGGAGGGCGCTGTCTCGCGGGGGCCTTGGCGACACGGAGACAGCTGTTCCAGTAAGTCATTTGTTTCTTTAATTGCATAAAAACCAGGGGATGAAATACAGTGCTTGGGGGTGGTAGCTCGGCCGCCACGGTTAGGGGTCTGCAGGGTTATCGACTCAGTCTCACAGGCCACTGGCCTGAGAGGCAGGAGCCCGGTGTGCACTTCCCAGCTGGGAGGCAGTACAGGTGGCCAGAGGGAGCCAAGAGAGCTTGGAATCAGCTTCCGTGGCACTGATTTTTAGGAGAAATCGTAGCTTCTCCCTTGGGTGGACAAAGGGACCAGGAGGAAACGAAATAGGAACGACCAGCAGACCGGCCGGGTCAGTCCCGGAGCAAGGATGTGCAGGGACTTGCTATCCTTCTAGCTTCTTCCCGCTCCAGCAAGCACTGAGATGCCAGGGCGGGGGCCGAAGAGTCTCCCGTGCCAGCTCCTCCTTGCCTCCCCAGTTCACCAGTCCAGCTGCCTGCACAGCAGAAGCGTTTTACCCTCCACTCCACTGTAGAATTTGATTCAGGAAAATGGTGGCATGTGGGTTTTTTTTTTTTTTTTCTCTTAAACACAAGGTACACATAGGACAGCCTACACGACACAAGATTTAGCAAAATAAAACGTCCACGATATGATTGAAATACGGAAGTGTCTCAGCTACATAAATGATTTTAAATTATACAGTAAGTGAACAGGTGAAATAAACAAAGCTATAGCTTAGAGAAAGCTCAACAACCGCCCTCTGACAGCGAGGCTGTGCCAAGGACCCTTTCTTTGCCCAGGACCCGCTGTTCTCCCCCCCAGGAACCTGGCAGACGAGACAGCGATTCTGTCAGCTTTTAGATTCTGCGGGGAAACCTTGCATGACTCCTGACGACTCACGCCACGTCCTTCCCTCAGGGGAGTGGCAGTGATCCCCTAAGAGACAAACGTGGCCAGATGCCTCAAGGCGGAGATGCTGGTGTCCAGTGGTGGTGGTGAGGGGGGTACGTGTGCGGGGCGGCTCAGGGGTTCCACCTTGCAAGCCTTTGTAGGTGAAATGAAGATAATCTCCAAACACCAAGTCTAAGGCCCACCCCTTTGAAACCACTGACCACTGACCTCAGCTCCTGCTCGAACTGCCTCACCAAGAGGGCAAAGCTCCCATGTCCATCTGCCCAGCAGCTTGACCACAGGTGAGCTACAAGGGAATGAAATCAGCCCCCCAGCCAGGTGCCCGTACTGCCCTCCTGCTCTGGAGTTCTGCCAGACGCCTTGCCTGGGCACCGGCATGAGACATTCCATGTTGTCTACTTCTTTTTTTTTTTTCTCCTGTTTCCATGGGCAGCTCTGTTTCCTAAAGTGGAATGAATTGAAGATACAAATACTAATAGAGGATAAATACCCATAATCTGAAAAAAGAGACAGAGCAATCAGGTTAAATGTCACCATTCTACCATCCCCAACTCTGTAAAATATACATTATCTCCTACTCTTGGCATCTCACATTCAACACTAAAACTTAAAATAATTTTATTTAATTGGAGGATTTATATTATAGTTTTATTTTTCAAAAAACACAAAAAATAACCCTACCGCTGATGGCACAGTCAGGCTTCCCCAGTACCCCCAGTTTTAATTCCATGAGGTGAGGACCTCAGGAGGTGGTATTCACCCATGGGTGAGCTGAGGGGAGAGGAGCGAACTGTCCCCAAACCCGGGAAAGGTGTCCGTCTACCCAGGGCAGGACACGGCAGCTTCCCCTCCTGTGCCCAGGCCCCTCACCCACACTAACTCTCATGTCCCATCTGAGCCAAGTCAGCAAGGCAGTTCAACGAAGGCCCCAAACATGAAGCAGGAGAAAAGGAGAGGGACAGATGACCCCAGTTAGGGGGATGCTGAGGGTGTTCAGAATTTCAAATTTTAATTAAAATGAAAAAAAGAAAAATCAACTTGGAATGTCATGATTTTCTTCAAACAAGCAACAACAACAAAACAGAAGAGATTAAACTATTGGCGTATTTAACAGCATTGAACAGAATTCTGTGTCCTAGAAAAAAATTAGCTTATGTCCCAGTGTGGGTATATGCAAATGTGTATACAAACACATCCCCCTAGGTGAGCTAAACTCTACTTTGGAAATAGTATTCTCTACCCAAATCTACTTGGCTATATCTGTGGATAGTGTGTGGTGTTGTCTAGTTCTCCAATTTACAGAAAGGCAAGCTCCTGGTCAAATCTAACCCAAGAGTTTTCCAGGAGGAAATCCTGCGGGAGGTGGGGAGAGGAAAGACATTGGCGTGTCTTTCACCTGAGTGTTTGAACCAGGCAGGCGGATTGCCTCCCGACCTCAGGCAGATGGTTTAATCTTAACCCACTACAAAAAGTTCTGTGATTCCAGCCTGGCTACTTGCTCCAGACTCAGAAACATCTGGTCAACCCCAGCGCCAGGGGCTGGGGGGACTGTGTGTGCTGTGTCATCTCAGACCCTCTCTTGCAGTGTCTTCCTACCCTCCCCCACCCTAACATGAAGACACAGACAGACATAGTCAGCGCGGGCCGTGCAGTCGCCTCTCCTCAGTGTGTGAGATCGTCCGCGTACCTTGAGTCTATCTGCTTGCTGCCCTCGACTGATCTCGAACAGTCGGCTTTTCAGCAACTTCCTTGTCTATGTCTTTTATGTGCTGGGGTGGACGAGAAGGGCAGAGGGAGAAGGGTCTGGGAGATGGTGAGGTGGAGAAGAAGAAAGAAGGGTCGGTGTTACAATGCCCGAATGGGATAGTTTTTCGATTTTTGTTTTCCTAAAAAAATATAGATTATATCATCACGAAGAAGAGGAGCATACGGTCCTCATTCTTTCTGGCATGGCACCAAAAATTCCAAGGTAGAAATGGGTGATGTCAAAATCAAAAAGAAGGACTAGGATAGGGCCAGGAGGATCATTCAAATTAAATTCCATATGACAGCATAGACTTTAAGTGTTCCAAGTGCTAAAATTTGAAGATAACAGGCACTAATTTCATTGTCATCATCTGGGAAGAGTTAGTGTCCGAGGGAAGCTCAGTGGGAAGGGAGGGAAGTGAGGTGGGGCAGGGTCTGGCACTCAGGGGTCGGTGGCATTGATGATGCTTTTGTCTGGGGGGGCCCATCCTCGGTACCAGCTGCAGTAACCACCCTTCTGCCGGATGCACGCGTAGTGTTTGGACTGGTAGCCAGGGTAGCCGAAATTGGAGAGCATGTCGGTCCAGAGACACTCATTCTTGGAGGTCACAAAGCAAGGCAGGTAGTAGCAGGACTTGATCTGCAATTAGATAATAGGCAACATGGTTGGTTGGTGGACACTGCTTGGTGGGCCCAGGCCTGATGCTGACTAAGTCAGGAGTCTGAACCTGGGATTAATGCAGGTGGGGCCACTTCAGTCCCTAAGTGAAAACAACACAGCTAACACCTGCTAACAGAGGCTGAGCACCCACTGTGTTCCAGACACCCTGCTCAGTGCCTCTGTGTTATTCTCTTCAATTCTCACAGCACTTTGATCTCTCTTGGACAGATTAGGAAACAGAGGCTCAGAGCAGCTAAGGAGCTGGCTCCAGGTCACACAGCCAGTAAGCAGTAGAACTAGACATCCTCTCAGATGGTGACAGGCAAGGATGAGAGAGGTCCACTGTTGGATGGAATGGAAGAATTAGAAAGATTAAAGCACAAACCTAAAGGTCCAGGAGCCCTAGCCTGGAAACCAGACTGAGTGAGCTGTGTGACCCAGGACTAGTTACTTAAGCTCTCTGAACCTCTACATCCTCATCCATAAAATGGGGATCATAATGATTCAAACCACACAGCGTTGTAGTGAGGATTAAGCATGAGAATGTCCCAATCTCTCCGACAACAGGAAGGGAGTGTGCCTTGACCCTGTGTGTGTGGCAGGGGTCAGACCTGGGTGGAGAGTGACCGCTGTAGCCTGTGGTTTCGGCTTCTGGCTCCAGCTTGCCCGCCCGGAGCAGAGGCTGCAGGGAGTCAGCTGCCAGCATAAGCCCGCTTGGGACTGCTGGTGGGACCTGCCCTGTCAGGATCCTGTACCTGCCACTGCCTTGAACCCCCGGGAGGGGCTGCAAGCGCTGAAGAGCCCTTGTGCCCTAGCAGCTGCCAAGTGGGGAGCACAGAGGCAGCTTATGACAGCAGAAAGGCATTCTTCTCCTGCCTTCTGCATGGCTCAGCCTGGGGGCCACATTCCTCACCCCTTGCTCCGACCTGTTCCTTGACCTTGGTCTGACCCACCCGCCTTTCTAGCTCAAGGGCCCAGCACCCGACTCAGCAGGAGCTGATAATCCGGGGCTGTGAGCCAGAACCCCCTGCCTGCCCCCTCACCCCCAGGACTTACCTTGCAGTTACAGCCCAGGTGGTACCGGTAGTTGAGCCCCTTGCGCTGGGAGAGGGTGAGCTGGTCCCATTTCTCAACGAAGTTGCACAGCCCTGTGTACATCTTCCCGTCATAGACACGGCCTAGGGGAGGGCGGAAGATGGCAAGGGGAGAGTCACGCTCTCCAGAGTCCAGCTGGAGGGAAAAAGTTCTCACCTCTGAGCACCCAGGACTGGCCGGGGACTGTGCTAAGTACTTTGCAGCCCACGCTTCTATTTCATCTCCCCCCAACACTTGTAAGACAAACTGTACCTCCATTTTCCAGGTGAGGAAAATGAAGCTCAAGTCAAGTGTATTTGCTGAAGGCCCCACCCAGGAAGCCCTGGAGTTGGGACCACAGCCCAGCCGCCAGCCCCTCCATGGTGTTTGGATTGTTCTTCTCCTTTCTTACACGACTGCCTAAAGATGGGTGGCTTTCGCCGTTAGGCCTCATCGCTTGACAAACAGGTGTTGGCACTCCCTTTTACTTATAGTGGAGCTGAGAAATGGCCCGGGTGGAGGTCATCTTCTCAAGGTCAGGGGTGTTGCTGAGAGCAAAGCCCACAAGGGGTACATACAGCCTCCAGCTGCAACGCTGGCTGAGCAATATGGACTCGGTGCTTGAGACCCCTTACAATTAATTCACCGGACATGTGGCCAGGGTTCTGAGGGGACAACCTCTCCTCCGTCTTTCTGAGGTGAAGGAACAGGGGCCAGCCCCTGCCTCCATGCTAGTGTTGGGGGTTACCTGTGATCAGGTACTGGTACTTGTTGACCTCCAGTTTAAGGCCACAGAGACTCTCGGAAGCTTCCGTGTGGATGTACTGCACGTGCGGCATCTTGGTGAAGCCTCGGTACATCTGCGGGCGGAAGGAGGCCGTGAGAGGGAAGCAGGTTGCAACTTGCTGTCCTTTGGCTGGCGTGTGGCCTGTCCAGATCTACCCACCCCACCTGGGCTGCTCTTGTCTAAGCCGAGGTCAGTTCCTTCTGAGTAAGCTTCCTGTCCAGCTGCTCACAAGCCTTTCTTCAAACTGCCAAGAACACACTTTCCTCAAATTCAACACCTCTTCAGAGATCTGCTATGAACAGGACCCCTCCAGCCTTGCCAAACTCTGGCAACGTGTCTGTGGCATTTTCCACTTTCACAGACACCCCCCTCTTATGAACCCAGGGAGGGGGGGGTGTTATGACCCCACCAGACAGGCCAGGTCTCTGGCAGAATTTGTTTGTGAAAGATGAACCCAGGCCAGGTATTCTCGGCGCTCTTATTCTCTTGAGCAGTGATGAAAGTACCTCTTTGTCTAGCCCAGCTAGAGCACAGACGATTGGGTACGAAATCCGTAGATGTTGGACTAAACACTTTAATAAGCGTGTAGAATTATGAAGCTGAACTGTATGAAACTGGATTTGGTCACTTTATCTACAATGTAAATGAGTACAATGGTTCTCAACTGGAGGCAACTGGACCCCCACCCCAGGAGATACTAGGCAATGTCTGGGGATATTTTGGGGTGTCACAACTGGGAAGTGGGGGGCCTCTGTTGTTGGGGTCAGGCATGATACTAAACAGCCTATAGTGCTCTGAACAGCCCCCACAGCAAAGCAGGATCTGGCCCCAAGTGTCAACAGCACTGAGGTTGAGAACTACTCCAATATGAACCCACCCAAGCCCCATGACAGCCCTAGGAGGCACCCATCTTATAGAGGGGAGACCTGACTCCCAGGGAGGTGAAGTAGATTGTAGAAGGCGAGGTCGAATTCCAAGCAGGAGATTCTGCCCCAGAGTCTATTACCCTACGGGCCTCCCCCGTACCTCAAAAGCTCGTGCCCAGCACCCCAGAGGCCAGTACATGCCCTTTCTGGGTCCTGGGCCTCCTCTACCAGCATGTGTGCAGACCCACTGGTGTGACCCCACACGGAGGACAAGCCCAATCACCACTTGGTGATTCCAGGTCAAGTTCACATGTTGCTTGGGTCTGATGAGGCGACTCTGCTGTAGGAGCCAGTGGGGGTGGAGGAGGCCCGAGGCGTTGCTCCATCCCACCCCCTCCCCCCTTCGCAGAGTGCACGGGCTCAGGACCCTGGTGAGCTGGTGGGCTCTGGGCTGGTCCCAAGGGTTTTCAATAGGACAAAGTCTCTACTCTAGTTTCTGGCACGCGGTCTTAATTTACTTGCGGTAATTAATAAAAAGCCAGACATCACCTCATGGGTGTCTCATCGAAATGCTTCTCATTCAGTTTAATGGGCTGTTTTTTTCTCCTTGTCTTCTCTTAAGTAGAGACTGGCTGGCGGGGGTAGATGGCCCAGTAGGGCCTCTGCCATCATAAAGGGTCTGTGGGGCCTGGGGTTTGGGAGCCTCTGCCTTGCTTCAGGGGAGAGCGGTGCTGGTCGTGTGCAACTGTCAGAGCACAGGGGTCTCCTTTGCCTGGCTTCCCTTCTTAGCCTCTTCTCCCAAGAGCCTGGCCACCTGCACAAGGCCACGCAGCCAGGCGCTGCGGAAAATGCTGCCCACACCCAGCTTTCAGTTACTCTCAGGGGGCCAGGGATGTGTGAAATCAGGTGGTGGATGCAGGTGCTCTGGCCTCAACCACGCGTGAGGGTGCTGCTGCCTGTGTCCTTAGGTGTGACCTGCGGAAAACATCCTGACACTCGCTTCTGTGCCCACAGCCTTTTATTTTGGTGTGGCAGGTCCTTGAGTGTTTGCGCATGTTACAGCTCAGCACTCCTGTAAGGCTAGGTGCAGGCTGGGGGTGCCCCAGTTTCCTCCCTGTCTGTTCTTTCCTCTGATCTCCTCTCTGCATTATGGGTGAGAATCAAGCCCCTGTTCAGAGTCGGTGACCTAAGTTGGTCGGCAGGAACTCCACAAACTCATCAAAATCAGCCTAGCACCGCTGTCGCTTTTGAATTTGAACATGGCTTCTAGCGTTTGTATGCAGAGTCAAAATGTGGATGCCTTCTAGATGGCTGAGCCTGACGAGCATGACTGTCCTCTAGGGTCCCTGATGAAAATAGCGATGTGGTAAAGACAGGTTCTCCTCATTTTGTTGACTTCTCTGGGTAACAGCCCCATCTGGACCTAAACATGGACCCTAAAAGTCTCATTGGGTCTGTAGTCATAAAGGCCTAGAGGTGTCTCTGTGGTGCTATGATAGGTTTCTGCGTCCTGAAGCCAGAGAGAGCAGAGAAAGATAGAATAGGGAAGGATGTTAAACATAATCTCATCCCACCAATGCAGTGGAAGACTTGGTAAACTGAGGTCCTAGAGACAGAACACCAGTGTTTGAATCTAGTCTCTGCCACTTACTAGCGCTGAAAAGTTATTTCTTTTCTGCTAGCCTCAGTCACTTCCTCTATAAAATGGGGCAAAGTGCTTACTTCATAGGATGCTTGAGAATTAAATGATGATTTTATATGTGGACACATTGTGAAGTGATCACATAAACTAGTTAACAAATTCTTCATCTCATATTGTTACCACTTTTGTGGGTGAGAACCCTTAAGATATGCTCTCTTAGTAGATTTCTCATGCGAGGATTATTAACCATACTGCACATCAGGCTCCAGAACTGCCTTCTTTTTAAAGGTTGAATAACATTCCACTGTGTGCGTGTGTGTGTGTGTGTGTGTGCATGCATGTGAGTGTGTGTATGCCTCTGGGCCTCGCTTCTTGGTATTATCCACACAAAGTTTCCTTTGGGATGACGGGACAAACACTAGGAGAAAGAACTTCCTGAGTCTGGGGGGATTTGCACATTTCTGAGGGAATGTCTGGTCTGCACTCTACATTGACAGCATGAAATGTCACCATATGTCAAATACTCCTGGCCTGCCTAGGAGATATCAGCACTGTGCGCCATGCTGCCTTCCATCAGGAATCCACTTAAATCTACCATGTAGCCTCACTGACAGACCTGGCCAAGCACCTGAGATCCAGGAACATTAGCTCCTTGACTGAGATACCAAGTGTATGCTCTTTATCTTACAAGCCAGGCTGGCCGGGAACTAGATACAAGTGGGTGGGGGACAGTCGTCCCCAAAGTGCGCAGGAATGATGATACATCAGTTGACTGCTCCCCTGTTCTGTGACCTTGCAGGCAAAGATGATGGTTTTGTTCTAGTTTGTCATTTTCTGACTATGTGATCTTGACTGTTATGTGTATATATGTATAACCTTTGCAAGTCTCAGTAGCCTCACCTGTAAAACAGGGGAAAATGGGTGTCTATTTCCAGGGTTATTGTGAGATCGATCCATGCAAAGGCAGAATGCAGGTGCAGAGCAAATGCTCATAAATATCACTCATATGGAGTCTTGAGTTCATTATCACAAATATTTTCTTGGCTGTTCAGAGAATGGAAGCATTGCTCAGTGCTCAGTGCAGGTTGAGGTGGAGGGGGTCAGAGAGGATGGCTGGATGGGCTCCTCCTTCTCCTGCATCTGCACCTACTCTAATTCACAGACTGGTACCCCGAGACCAGCAGAATCCAGTGGCCTCTCTGGGTTAAAGGGCATGACCCAGTCTAGATTATCTGGTACTGCGCAGCGGGGTGGGACCCAGCTAATAAAAGGCATTAGATAATGATTGATAATCAAAGGGAGATGAAAAGGAGATGTGGGGGTCATGTGACAACACACAGGATTAAGAAGGGAACTGACCCATGCGAACCAGGAAGCCTGACTTTGGCAAGTCATTCCCCTGTAAGCCTCTGGCTGGCAGTAATAAAAGGAGTTGTTTTACTTTTAATGCCCCGCACTCCAATTCCAGGAATTCTGGTGGGGACAGCAAATGGGCCTCTGAAAGTGTGTCTGGTCACCCTGGTGCCCAGGTCCTTGAAGGTAGGACAGATGTCACACAAGCTTGGGAACACTGCCCCGTCCTCGGGCAGCTCTCTGCTGGCCACAGAGCATCTCCCCGTGGGCAGAGCGGTTCCAGAGCAGGCAGGGAATGTGGTTTCTGAATATCTGCTTTTGTCTGACAAGCTTTGGCATTTGCTCGCCAGCTGCCAGGGGTTGCACTGTGGGTTGGAGGGTTGTTGTTGCTCTTGCTGGTTCCCCCTCCACCCACTCTCCTTTCCCCGTAGCCATCTGAAGACCTAAGCTGGTCCCATGACCAAGCTTGTGCGGCCAAGGGCAAAGGGCCAGGGCCGACTCTGGACATTACATAACCAGAAGGCGGTGGCTATTTCCAAAATTGATTCCAAATCAACAGGCTCCACAAACCTAGTGCATCTAACCCCTGACCTCAGGACGTAGGAATGGTGATCTGGGGAGCTTCCAGGCCAACAGGGTCTCATCCTCATTCCCCCATTAGACGGACAAGTCCTCCCAAGTCCTGTGGCCTGCCCAGTCCTGCCCCAGCTGTCGGAGATGCAAATCCAAGCTTGAGGGCTGTTAGCTCACTTGAACCTGAGCACACCATCCTGACCTCATTAGTCACACTTCTGGCCCGACTATTGTTCACAGACATAGGAGCTGTATCTCCCCTGTGGGCTCCATGGCTCCTGGCGCAGAGCCTGCCCTTGGGAGGTGCCTACAAAGGTGGGGTGATGGACCAGTCGCTGAGTTATTTGAAGCAAAGCCTGATCCTCTGTGTGAAGGCAAACATAAATACCCCCTTCTGGCACCCACACCTGCTCCTACTTAGTAGCAACACAGCCAATGTCTGCAGGTGCTTAGAATCCTGAAGTGCCCGGGGCCAGAAGGCCCTCAGGGGTACCGCACCCCACCCCGCACTGTTGACGGATGGCAAAGCTGAAGCCCAGGAGAAGGGACTGTTCCAAGATACTCAGGAGGAGCTGAGACTAGTAGCAGGTTCTCTGCATTCTGGATCTAGTGCTCCTTTTCTGGAGGCTTCCCTCCTCCCTGGACTTCCCAGTGCTCACAGGTTCAGGAGTGTGCAGCTCGGCAGCAGGCTCAGTAAGTGGAGCTAACCACCTGATGCAGGAAGACACTCAAGCTGGGGAAGCAGGGCTGAGGGGGTGCAGCTCCTGCTGCAGGGTCACAGCAGTCCAACTTAAGTTGCAACCTCAATGACCGCACGAGATCTGGAACACCGTGGAAACTAAAAAAGCCAGAACTCGGAAGGACCCGTAAGACAATCTAGTCCAACCCTCACCCCCATTTCACAGAAGGGAAGCCTGAGTCCTGGAGAGGGACAGTGATGTGGTCACTATCTCAGTTACCAGGTAATGTGACTGCTCTCAGCTTCAGGGCCCAGCCTCTTTACAGCAGCCTCTGAGGGGTCCCACGAACCTGGCTCTGGAGCAAGCAGCCCCCATCGCCCCTGCCCCCTGCATCCCTTACCAAGACCTCCCTGAGACCCTCTCCAGCAGAGCAGAGGGTGGGCTCTGGGGTTCACACATGAGCAAACACACTCCCCAGTGCCAGCCAGTCTTGCCTCCTTCAGCCAGGACTCCCCTGACAAAAAGACTCAGGAACCCTCTGAAAGCCCAAGTGCTGTTGCTCACCTTCATCTGCTTGATGGTGTAGACCATGGTGCCAAAGGGTCCCTCCTTCACCAGCTTCTTCCCCACCACCTTGGCCCGGATCACTGCAGGAAAAGGCAAGACAGATCATGTTTATTAGAGCAAGAATTCTGATGGGAGACAGTGAGGGTGGTGAGAAGGTGAAGGCAGCCATTATCGGAGGGAATCACCCCCAATGTTCACAACTGCCTGCCCCAGAAATCCCTGGACTGCACTCCTCTCTGGAGGAGCTTTTTGACTCTGTGGTTCACCATCGCCCCAAATCTACATCTACTATTAGAGCCTCTTGCTTTCCCTGCACTGCCCACCTGGCAATCCCTTGGTCTTCCAGACCTGCTCTCTTCCTACTCGGACCCCTTCTTGACCTCCACCTCGGTTGGGTGAGGCCCTTCCTTTGCAGGAGATGTGCTGCCACGGAGTGCGTGAGATACCTCAACCTCCCTCCATGCCCCACACTTGGCATTCTGATGGGCCCTCAGAACCTAGCGCTTAGAAGGCAGGGGATCCAGTTGAGTGTCGCTCAGTGAGGATGTGGTAGAGGAGGTGGCAGTTGGGAGCTGGGCTCAGAACTCAAAAGAACTGCTCCAATCCCAGCTCTGCACCTATGGCTGTTACTACTATGCACAAGTAACTTTGTTTCTGCTCCCCAATTTCTTCTCTATAAGGCCAGGGTAATATGGCACCAATATTCTAAATTGAAGGTGTTAGGCAAGATATTGCATGTGAAACTCTTGGCACCATGTCTTGGACAGGGTGAACATTAGGTAAATGTTATTACTATCCTCATCATCATCATCACCACCACATCAAAAATGGAATGCGCCATCCATGAAAGGATTACTACCAGAAAAATAGTTCCTATTTGCACACACTTGTTATATAAACAACACTTTTTTTGTTTACTTATTTACTCTTCACAGCTGCCTTACAAGGGCATTAAGTATTAGCAATCACATTATACAGATGAGGAAACTGACAGAGAAATGAAGCCACTCCCTCTTGCCAAGTTTTGCATCAGCCCTACCTCAGGGAATTGGACTGAGGGTTAAACAAAAGAGCCTATGAAAGTTCTGACTACAGCATCCAGCAGAGAGGACCTGTTCAGTCAATGTTAGTTGACTATAAGTACAAAGGTAATTAGACCTCATGTGTCCAAGGCTAGAAGAGAGGCATTGTCATGAGTGAGAACGCAGAGAAGAGCAGAACTGACTTTGAGATTATGTCTTCTCTTTCTGCTTTGTGTGAAGGAGATCCCAGGAGCTGTCTTCAAGTATTTATAAAACCATCATGTGGAAAAGAAAACAGTCAGGTCTTGAAGACAGAATTCAGAAATGTCAAAGAAGTAGCTCAACCAAAGAAAAAGTTATTCGATAACAAGAATTACCAAGGTGGGAAGGGAGGGTCTGCATAGAGGGGGCTGGATCCCCTCAAGTTAGGACTCTGACCACACTGGAGTGGATATTGCAGGTGGAGCAGCCATGCTTTGAATTGCAAATTAAGGTCTTCCTGCTCTAAGATCCTATCACCCCTGCCTACTTCCCAAGTTGTGCTTCATCCAAAAGAGTAGGTGCACACGAAATGATTGTTAAGTATCTTAGAGTATCTTTACACACACACACACACACACACACACACACACCCTTACCCATCCTGGTATGTCCAATAACCTCCCCCATTTGCAATATTCCACCATGTTTCTCACTTCTTTGACTCTAATCTCTTTAAAAGATCTTTACCAGGAACCAGTTCCCCCCATCCCAGCTGGAATCTGTCTTGGTCTTCCCCAACATGAGCTTGGAGCTTACTCTTGCGGTCAGACATGAGTCAGGACCAGAAGGGCAGCAGCCCCTGCAGACCTCACTTGCCAGGAAGGGCAGAACACAAGCCCATGGGTGAAGTCAGCAGTGTAGTGGGGCAGCTTACACTGGAAGGAGGCGAGTGGCTGTTTCCAAGTCTGCTGTAAAAACGAGAGGCTGGCAAGGTCCCAGGCCAAACTCCCTCAAGAGTCTATATCCACCTCTGTGCCTAACCTCACAGCAGCATCCTTGGCAGGGAGCCATCCTCAGGGCCCCAGGGACCTTTTCCTCCATATTAACTCCCACAGGCAGGTTGTAACAGCTCAAATGTTGAGTGAAAGCACATCTGCCAGGAATGCACTATTGGTTCTTCCTGGATTGATTTGGCTCCATCTTTGGCTGCTTCATTAATACAGAAGATAAACTAGTGAATGAGTCTTTGCTTGGCGAGGGGGAGCAAGAGGAATTCCTTTAAATAACAATGTCTACCTTCTTCTGTCTTAAAAAGATCTGACTTCATTCAGCTATAGCATGACCTGTCCCATAAAGCTGGGTACTTCTGGAAGCTTCTGCATGCACGATGAACCAATTCCTTCTTTACCCTGAAATGACCTAAGCTTGGCACCTTTTCATCTGAGAATAGTTCAGTGAAAAGAGTGTAAGTTTTGTAGTCAGGAAACCACATTTGAGTTTGAATTCTGCCATTACCCTGTGGCCTCAGGCAAACCCCTATGTCTCAGGAGCTCTTTCCTCCTAAATCTCTCTGATTATGTTGGCCCAGTGCCCATCATATGCCAGACAAGTGATGTACTTATTACTAGTGGAGCAGCCACTAAAGGTGGCTGGCCTGATTGCCTGGGTTCAGATCCTAGCCCTGGTGTCATGTGACTTTAGGGAATATACTAAACCTCTCTGTGCCTTAGTTTCCTATTCTGGAAAATGAGCAGGATGCTAACAGTAAGTCCTAAGAGGGCTGTGAGGGTTATGTACATGCACCAAGAGTGTGGCCCCACTCATGGCCCCTGTGTCCAGTCACTGTTACTAATATTGCTGCGACTGCTATGATTTCCATTGTTATCTATTCGTCCTGGAAGCTGGGGATCGTAGGGACTACTAACATGCAATGCAGGCTAAGGCTTGAGGGATCTTCCTATAATGAGAAGAAAGGCAAGCATACTCTGGCCTTGAAAATCTCAGAGAATGATGGGGGGGCACCCACGAACTCGTCTAGGCACCCACGAACGTGCTAGGTACTTTCAGACCTGGAGCACCTGCTCCATCACAAGTCCTGTCCCATCTCATCCCCATGCATGACCCAAAGGCAGCTGACTGGGACAGACAAGCCCCCCTGGCCTCAGTCCAGAAAGACTGAGGCCATGGTGGCCCAGCATAGAGACCACACCCGTGTTTTCCTAACAAAATCAAAATCGCGCTCCCCTGAACTAAAACGAGATACCCACAGCTTTCCCAAATACGTTCGCAAAGGCCTTCCAAAGTAAAATCACCGGCCAGATGCCAGTCCGCCTGTTTGGTCTGCCAGTTAGTGTGTCTTTATTTGCTTCAGCTTCTCCTCTGCAATTCCAAAGCCCTGCTATTTTGTACTTTCTTGTTTGGCAATCAGGGTGCTCCCCGCATTCGCTGCCCCCCATCCCCAGGGCCAGGGGCAGTGGGCAGGGGAGGTGGGAGGAGGGCACAGCTCTCCAACAACAGAAGGTTTCCAGACTTGGACTTGGCTGCATCCTCTGCCCCGGCCACCTTGATGTGGTGAATAGAGTCCTGTGCTCAGGGGGGCTGGGCGGGACACAGGTCTTCTTTATTCTACTTCCTGCTGGGACTGGCCTCCCATCTGCCCACCTGGAGTCCTCCAGCAGCTAAACCAACATGGGTGTGAACTGGGTTGGCGTCTGGGAAATGGTTTGGGTGATGGGGTGGGGACAGGTGACAACAAGATATTGAAGTTCTATTTCCTACCTCCATGGAATACAGTCTAGCGGGAAGACAAAGTTTACAAGTTCATGGCCAGAGGGCTGGTCTCCAAGGTTCAGAAGCACCAGTCAGTGAAGGGAGGATGAGGTGCAGCCTAAACCTTGGTCTTGGAGCTTCTTAGCCTCCTAGGAAGGGAATGTGGGAGGTCAAAAGAAAAGAATTGATAGTATTTTGGCTTCAAAATATGTAAGAAGAAACTGACCAGGACATGTGTGCTGATGTCTTTGGCACATAGGAATGTAAATCTATCAGACACCTGAAGAATCTGCTATAAAGGAATACCTCTGTAGGGTTATCTTTTACCCCTTTATTTTTTTTAAAGATTTTATTTATACAAGAACTGGGGTACAGGTCAGAGGCACGGGAGAGTGAGAGGATTCACCAGAGACAGAGTGGTGAGCAGAACAGGCAGATGGATCAAAGACACTGCTGAGGGGAGCAGCGGGCGAGACAGGAGAGGTCTGCTGCGCCATGTGGGTTTCTCCCTGGCCGGCCGGGAATCGAACCCACACAGCAGAGGCTGCGGACAACTTCACAGTGCGGCGCTCAACCCCCTGCGCCACCAGGGAGGCCCCTCTTTTATCCCTTTAAATAACTTTGGAGGAAGGATTGATAAAGAGGCTGCAAACGAAAGGAAAACAGACATACTCTTTCCGGAAATATTTTGGTGTTCTGTCTGCACCCACTTCCATCCGCAGTCATCAAGACCACAAGCAAGAAAAAGTTTTGAACAAAGACCAACCACGAGAGCAAAGAGGGCGCACGGTGGCATAATGGGGTGTCCAGAAATTGTACATCTTCTGCTCATCAGCATCTTCAGAGGGGTCAGGACACCTGCAAGCTGGCCCCTGTCTCTCACACTCTTCAGCATCTAGAAATGCTAGAGCCTTCTCCATCTGTTCAGCACACTGTGCTCCCCGGCAGAGCTTTCATGGGAGAAAATTAATAACTTAGAAACCACAGAGCTTGATGACCCCTAGGAGTCTGAGGTTAACTAGACTGATTCGTCAGATGGGACAGTGTGTATGGAAATGTCACTTTGCAAGCCTGAAGCTGGGTGGTGCAGCTGGTTGCTGGCGCTGATTACTGTGGGTTCTTCAGGGCACTCATCGGAGGAAGAAGACAGCAAGGAACCCGAAAGGATTCCTCAGCCCCAAGGATCTCTAGTATCCACCTCCAGGATCAAGCCTCTGGTGGTGTTTTGATGAGGCCCATGGTTGAGGAAAGAGTCTTAGGAATTGAGGATGGAGAGCAGAAGCCTGATGGGTCTGCTCTGCCTGGAT